GTGGACAGCCAAGAAAACAAGCAAATGGATCATCGGACACATCAACCCAGAGTTCTCACTCGAGGCCCAAATGACCAGGCTCAAATTATCATATTTTGGAGGACACATAATGCGAAGACCCAGCTCTGTGGAAAAGGATCTAATGCTGGGAAAGGTGGAAGGAAAAAGAAGAGGAGGACCAGCAGCAAGGTGGAGGGACTCAGTTACAGTTGTGATGAGTGCGCCTTTGGAAGACTTGAAAGAACCAGTTAGGGATAGATCGTCATGGAGAAAATCTATCTATATGGTTGCTAGGAGTTGAAAATGACTTGATGGTACATAATCAATCAATCAATCAATCAATCAATCAATCATTCAAGGAAATAGATATAGATATAGATATCAGACCCAGTTTGGTCTAGTGGTTAAAATCACTGGGCTAGAAACTGGGAGACCATGAGTTCTAGTCCTGCCTGAGTCACAAGGCTAGCTGGCTGACTTTGGACCAGTTCCAGGAGGAAGGCAGTGGTAAACCATTTCTGAAAATCTTGCTAAAAAATCTGCATGGACTTGTCTAGGCAGTCATCAAGATTTGGAGCCCATCCCCCAGTAACGTGGCCACTAACCATAATATTTGGTAGGGGGTTCCATCAAACCGAAAAGTTTAGGCTTGTAGGAATATGCTCCCTAAGAAATATGCGCAGCTGTTCCCAGCCCTGCTTGGCTTAGCCCTGATGCAGAAGAACAAAGACACAGCTTTACAGCTATTTGTGTATCCTGCACGCACATCACACACAGTGTTGCCCTTTTGTGCAATCTGGGGGCGGGTGCTTCGACTCCGTTTGTAACAGGCTATATTCTCAGCAGGAAAATGTCCCAATAAGATTTTTTTTTCCCTGACTGGATCCAGGCTGCCTGACAAACCTGCCACGGTTTGCCAGGAAGAAGAAAGCAACAGACGACGTCCGGGCTCCCATGTCTTTGGAAATATAAAATTCAGCTGCTCAGGTCAAAATGGTTCCCATCCTTTTTCAACAGCCATCAGCGCCAACCCCTGCCTTTGTTGCACTCGACATGAAGGGGAAGCTGTTGCACCAGCTTTGTTCTGAAGCTCATTCTGGCCGAGTTAATAAATAACCACCAGTCAAAGAGAAGACATTTTAAATCTTGCATGCCACACTTGTATACATTTTGATCCTGGACGCCGTTAAGGAATTCTTTATTTCCACCCCGTGTATCTGGGAGAATGGACAGCCTGACTTCCTGCAGATGGACACAGTGCTAAGTGGGGAAAAAATGAAATTCCTTGCAAAGATTGAACAATCTCTTTTCTGAACTTGTGGCTTCCCAAAATCTTTCAAGTGCTTTCCTAGAGCGCAGGAGGGTCAAAAAAGGCAATATGGTGGTCACAACCATGCGAACGAAGCCCCACTCCTTTTCTACATTCATTGTGAAAGCTTATTTTCCTTTGGGGAGAAAGAAAAAAACATTGAAAACTGTTTCTTCTCTGGCCAGACTCTTTAAGAATAGGTAAAAACCCTGCAGAAGAAGTTTTTAACCCATTAATACAGGATGGCTTTTCCTTTCTGCAGGGTGCACCAGTTATGGTTCCAGGCCTGTTATCAGCACGTGCCCAGCAGCTGTATCAAAGGTAGCCTGTTTGGCAATCCTGTGTATGCAAGAATGCCAGGAGGAGGAGAACTGGTGCTAGGACCTACCAAAAGTATAAATAAAATCAAATAAAATCTCCTTAACAAAAGAAATCAAGGTCTCCTCTTTGTTCTGTTTTCACCCTCTCTATTGATTGCACAAACCCACTGCATGAGAAACTCTCAGGTGGCTGCATGTTTTATATCAACCTTTGGGAAAAGAAAAGAAAGGGATATTTAAAAGCTGTTATTCTCTTGAAAGCAACCATGAAGGGTTCAAAGAAAATATTTACTTGCCAGGCAGTGGCAGGCAGGCAGGCAGGCAGGCAGGAAGGAAGGAAGGAAGAGAGAGAGAGAGAGAGAGAGAAAGAACGAAAGAAAGAAAGAAAGAAAGAGCGAGAAAGAAAGAAAGAAAGAAAGAAAGAAAGAAAAAGAAAGAAAGAAAGAAAGAAAGAAAGAGAGAATGGGAGTGAGTGAGTGAGTTCTCTAATGGAGGCTCTTAGGAAACAAGTGGAAAGAAATTAAGTTTTGATTGCAATACCTTTTTCAAAATTGTTGCAGGAAAAATGGTTGCTAGAATGTACTTCCTTGATTCTTTACTTGCCTTCTCTGCCCCTCCAGTTCAAAAGGACCCTGAGCAGTTTATATTCCCCACTTCCAGTAAGAATGTCAAAAAAGTGGACAACAACATGGCCATTAACGACAGCAACCAAAATTACAGAAAGTTTCAGCCATCAAGGAACACTCAAACGCCAAGCACAGCCCACAGCAGGCAGCTGAAATGAGTTCCAGGAATATATTTTAAAATCCAGGTTTGAAGAGTTTTCCTAAAGTTGACCAAGGGGGTAAGAACATGCAGCCCTGGGAAACCACTGTCATCTTAAACATATTTAAACCTTCTGTCTGAATCTTCAAGGTAAGCGATGCAAGGAATTGCTTCTTAGGATTTGTTTAAATTTGTTTAAATATCTCCAAGTTTTTACATTTGTTTAAATATCTAATTTAAGTTTAAATTAAATTTAAATATTAAAATCTAATGTTTAAAT